AATAAAATTGAATTGAATTGACTAACCAAAAATATTGTTTTTATAAACTCTGTTTTAAATAATGTATCTGGGGAGCCAAATTATGAAAACAGAATTAATGTGTCACCATCAGAGATACTCTGTGGAGCAACATCAATGGGAATAAATGAAAAAAAAATCTTGCAATGCAATGTCTCCTGAATCGTCTGGGTGGCTGGCTCCTGCAGCGACATTCACAGCATGAACTAAACACTACCTCTTTATATGTCAGCTACATGCTACAGCCGCAGCATTCAGAAGAGCCTGTACTTGCAGCATTAGGCCTCTGCACGGCTCAAGAGGTGTGAGGAGAGGAGCCGGAGGGTAAAGCCCTCCAGGTGTCACTCAATCACGGCAGCTGTCAATAAGGCCGTCGATACACACTGAGCCTGTATGTCCAAACACTAAAGCCTGGGTCGATGCGTCAATGCACTTCCCATAAAGCTTGCTGATTTATCAAGCTGTCGACAGCTCAAACAATAAAGCTGCCAAATGGATATGTAGGTTTACGCCCACTCAGAAGCAGCCAAGCGCGCACACACACACATTATGCATACACACACAGGCAGTGATGAGCTGTGTCTCCATGTAGGTAACTCTATCAGTTGGATGGGGAGCCCCGGCTCCATGCCCGCAGACATCACCCGCCCTCCTCCTCCAAGACCCTCCCCACTAGTACAGGAGGATGAGCTGCTGAGCAACAACCACCTGCCTGAACACAACAACATTGTGAGTACACTTTAGCTCATCATCACCTTCACATTTTAAATTACCTTTCAGACTCTTATCCCAAGGCTTTTTCTATTATCTTTGGTTTGAGCTAATCTTGTCACTGTCACACAATGTGTTGTTTATTTATTGCATTTGTTTTTATCTCCATTGCTAGGGCTTTTTTATCGGTTTTATTATTTTTTACTGTTTTCCCTGCTCAAAACTTCATATTCCCCTCGCTCCTTTTAGATTGTGAGAAGCTGGAGTTTGTGTTTGCAGGAATATTTGCCAAATCTTTCAATTTAGCCCTACCACATTATATACCAGAGGGCCTCCCTCCAGTTTAGGTTAGATATGAAGACAAATTTTGAAAACCAGTTAAAAAATAAGGTTCCTATAAAAGGTCAAAAATCTATTGGCGTTTTGGTCAAATTTTAACTAACCATAATAGAGTTTTACAATTTAACTTTGTGACTTGTGTTTTAGATGGCTTCTACTTAGATTTTGGTGAAAGTTGCAAAGTTCTTGCAGGCACATCGGACCTTTAAATTTCAAAACATAGACCATTGTTTACTGTAGCACTACCACTAGGAGAATTTTTCCAGTTAGGAAGTGGCTGCAATCACTAATTATTATCTCAAAGTCAAAGACATTTAAAAAAATAGCGAAATGACTCGGTGTGCATTAAAATAACCCTATAGTTTTTTATGTATAACCCCTACACCTGCAGCAACTACATGAGCGCTGGCCCGTCAACATGCCACCCTTCGTCGCTTTACACCACTTCCAGTGTCTCTGAGCCTGAAATGATCAATTAGAATGGCAAAAAATACATTACCTGGCGAGTCATAGCTCTCGACATTGGCTCTTCAGGTGAGTTTAAATAGTGCTGTCATGATTTTAAACTAAAGTATGATTAATTTTATCATGAAATAAGTAAACAGTTGGCCTTTATATCTGAAACGGCACAATGAGACAACTATGCCTAATAGCAAAGGATTATTTGTCATCAATGTAGATCTGCTGTTATCACAAGCCTGAGAGATTGACACGCTGCAGAACTGTGAGGCTGTGCTTATGCTGTGCTTTGAGTTAAATGCAAATGACAGCATGCTAACATGCTCAAGATAGTCGTGTTCAGCCATAACATTGTGAGCACTGACAGGTAAAGTGAATAACAATGATTATCTGGTTATCATGGCACCTGCAGTGGGTGGGATATATCAGGCAGTAAGTGAACATTTTGTCCTCAAAGTTGATGTGTTAGAAGCAGGAAAAATGGGCAGTGTGGGGATCTGAGCGACTTTGAACAAGGCCACATTGTGATGGCTATACGACTGGATCTCCAAACCTGGCAGCTCTTGTGGGGTGTTCCTGGTCTGCAGTGTCAGTACCTATCAAAAGTGGCCCAAGGAAGGAAAAGCGGAGAACCAGAGACAGGGTCATGATTCACCACATGGACAGCAATCTGTCCCCACCGTACATTAATTAGCCTTGGCCGCCTAACAGAGCGAGCTACTTGTACTCCAAACTGCTGAAACAGTTAAGGGATGGTTTCTGATTAGAAAGGTGTCCAGAAACACAGTGCCAACACAGTTGTTTGTCATGGGGCTGCAGAACATTATGATCACCAGGGTGCCCAGGTGATCACAATGTTATGACTGATCGGTGTAAGTAGTAAGTAGTAAGTCTGAAAGAGTAAAATGTATTTATTTTGAGTGATGCATTAAATTTTTTGATCAGATAGGTTATCATTGACAGTAGTCATCCTCACAAGAAGGTCAAACCTCTCATCAGTGGTGGTAGAAGACAATAGTGAGTCAGCATTTGATTTGAAGATTAAAGGAGTAGCTTTGGGGCAATAATCAAAATCAAAGCATGCTGGCAAGCCATCAAAAGATTCTACAGAGTGTTTACGGTCCAACAGGAGCAGTGATTTTAGGACTGGTGGCATCCAGATGATGGGAGAGACCTCAGGGATGCAGTTTGGGTTATTTAGAACCAAAAACAGGTGTAAGATATCCACCTGAAAACCGGGGAAAGTCTGATTTAGATATATAAAAATGATTTGCCATGTTAGAATACATCAGAATCGTTCAACAACAGCTGAGAGAAGCTTTGCAGGAACCTTTGGCCGTGATTTGAAGCTAAGAGCCAACAGCTTCCTTTGGTCATTCAAAGAGACTGAATATCACTGGAGTTGTATTGATCTAATAATAGTAAGAGCAATGGACAGCGACTGAATCAGAAAGCAAACTATTCTAATTGTTCATAACAATAACTGGAACAAAAACGGTCCAACTTGGTCTGATTAGCTGTCAGACATATCATAATTGATCCCCACCATAGGCACAGCAACAGGGCTGTGGTCTTTTTTGAATGGATTTATAGAAATTTGCAATAGACATAGGAGATAATTATATCCTAAGAAATTCACACTGAATGATATATGTTTTTAATGTCTGTTTGTTCAGATTTGAATGAGTTATGACTCACAGAAGGAGGATTCTTGACTCATATTCACCTCACGCAGTATCTTTGCCTCCCCCCTGGGGAGACTTCTGACTGTATCTTTTTGCATTGAGCTGCTGAATGTCCATGTCTACAGACCATATCCTATAATTTCACCATGGTTAAAATGCCGAACGATGAGTTAAATTACAGAGAAGCACAGTGAAGATTCTCTACCTCTCCTTGAGATGCTAATCCCATCTGAATGGAATGGGGCATGCATGTTTAGTTCTAGAAGGCATAGACAACGATGTATTTTGTAGCTTAATTTGCAGTGCTTACCAGATGTTGACTGTGTTGTGCACTTTTATTGCTTGATGACTAAAAAAGAAAAAAAAAATTTAGCTATAAAAATATGCACATTATTTCTGTGTTCAGATTGACTGAGTTATGACTCGGAGAGGGAATATAAATCTTTTGACGCAAATTGTGGCTGATGCCTCTCCCTCTACTCCCCTCTAAAACTCTCCTGTGCCCCCATAGCAAGGTGCCCCTCACATAATCTAGCTTTGTATCTGATCAGCACTGCCTAGTTTGACAGTTTGATCTTAGTTTTGTGTGCTGCGCTGGACAGACTCATTGACAGTGACCTGACAATCAAAAGGTAGCCCCTCCCAAAAGCATAGGCGACTTTATCGTCTATTTTACTCTAAATTGGACCACCAAACAAATGTCTTAAATGTCTTGACTGTGTCCGTTTAATTTGTCTCTCCCAACCCATCAGGCTTCACACAGTCTGTGGCACACAGACAAGTCTTGGCCCTGAAGTGTTTTGATTTCAGTCCTGTTGGATCATGACTGAGTCTGCCAGCTCTGTAATGTGCAGACAGTAACAGACACACAGGCATGCTGAAATGTGCTGTGAACACATATGTTTTGAGAGTTCCTCCTCTCACAGCTCCTGGCTGCCCTTGTCCAACACTGACCATTAAATGTGGTCCAATTCAATCGCGGTCCTGGCTACTGTAACCTTGGCCAGACCACAATCTGCCGTGGCTGTGGCTCCCTAGCTCTCAGCATGCCTCACTGCCAGAGATAATCTGGGCCGCCAGACAAGAGGGGATTCCAACTCTCTCTCTTCCTCGGTTGCCCTCCTCCGCTCGCTCTCTCTCCCTCTCTGTGTCCGTTTGTGTCTCTCTCCCAGTGAGCGGATTAGATGAGGTGTTGGTTGGAAGCAGTGCATCAGTCAGGCTTCATTAGTATGAATTTATTCATGCCCATATGTCTCCCCCCTCTTTCTCTTCCTTCCCCAAATCCCCTTCTTCCCTCCTTCTTTCCTTCCTTCTGTCCTTTCCATCCGTCTTTTTCTTCATTTACTCATTCAGTCTTTTCTTTGGCCCCATTTACACCTGGCATTAACATGCGTCAGGGTGATCCGATCACAAGTGGAAAGCTCTAAGTACAGGTGTGAATGCACCTAAGATGCATTGAGGACAGATTGAGATCCGATCACTCAGACCACATTCGGAGACGGTCTGGGTCCAACATTCTTTTAGCAGTGTGAATGGGTCCTAGGCCACATTGAAGGTCTCAACTGATATCTTCTCCGTAAATGGAAATACTATGATTGGGTACCAAACTCTGTACTTTTAATGGTACTGACCGAATTATGTTGATACTACAGAGTACCAGTTCGCATTAAATGAACTAGTGCTGAATCAATTAGTGCTGAATTTTGGTACCTGGGCGTGCATATGTGTGTGAAAGTGCCTGCAGCTTGTTTAAGTCACAGTGAGTCAGGGCACACAGACTGTGTAATACAAAATACAAAGCTGGCCAGGGCAATACATCTAACCTGAGGAAACATCTGGTCAAATCCTTAAGTAAAGTCCCCCTCAGCAGCCGCAGCTAAAGTTAGCAGGTACGCAGTCAGCGATGAGTTGAATCCTCCATGTACGACAGAACTTTACGTCAGCCATCGACAACTTCGATCTCTCAGGTAATTAATTAGCTTGTTGGATAACTTGTTGCTGGAGATAATTTGGCTTTTATCACTGTATTTGCTGATGTTAGCTTGCAATTTTCCTAGCATTAGCCACAACATTGTTAAGTAACAGAATAATTGAGTCTTGTATGTGGACTATACAAAATTCGCTGTCTGATATCCTCCTCCTGCTCTAAACTATATAAAAAAGGGTCCCTTAAGGGAAAGGGTTGGGAACCACTGAGCTAAAGGACATCAGAGGGAAAACCTGAAAATATTTTGCCTATACAATATGATCCAGTTTCACCAAAATTAGTGAATAAAGTGATAATTTTGTTTTTGTACAGTAATCAGTGAGGCCCGGCCCTAAGAAACACTCTGCGCTGGTGTTGTCTATCATTTTTCCAACCTAATTCTTGTCTCATCTGTAGTCTGATGAACAGTAAATTCAGCAAGTTTAGGTTAAAAACAACAAGGCATTAGGTCTTTGCAAACAGAAATGATGTACGTGTTTATTTGCACATTCACAAACAGGCCAATCTTGCATCCTCCAGCCGTTATTGTACCCCTCCCCCCTTCCATC